GGGAAAAGGGGGGGGTGGGGGGGGGGGGGAAACGTGTATGAGCTAAGAGTTCAATGTAAAACTTATATACAATTCCAGCGAAAAGAAGCGGATCCATCTAGACAAAAGGTGAAAAGGAAAAAGGGGCTGGCGTCTTCTTGTTTCTTTTTCTTTTTTTCTCGTGTTTCCCACACGGTGGGGTAATTTTTTATACGGTACTCTTTTTGCAACCATTTCCGTATTGTCCTGTTACTTTGCGCTGTTTGTTTGTTTGTTTATTTTTGTTTTTATTAGTTGTTGCCTCGAGGCGGAGTGTGTGTGTGTGTTGTCCAGGGACACAAAAGAAAGTCTTGTCTTGGGGAGGGCAATGGCGGAGTCGGGGGCGTTGGCTCGAGGACGCGGTCTCCGCTCCGTATCGGCAGGAATTCGATCGAAGCGTGCAATTCCGACCGTTTCCGTGACTGCGCAGAGCCATTCCACCACCGCATGCAATGTGAGCGCGGGCGAGGACGGGGATACACAAGATGAAACGATGGCACTGCGAGTGATGCTGCAAGAGCGCACGGAGCAAGTGGAGCGGCTCGAGGCGCTTGTGAGCGAAAAACGGCTTATTCAGCGATACGACGACGTTCTTGAGAGGCGCATGCAGCAATATGAGGCGCAGTTGGCGCAGTTGGCCCTCGCGGTGAGGGGAAACACGCCGACACCCAGTAATAAAAAGCCGTTGGGGAAAGAACGGAAGGATCCCGCGGGAGAGGTGACGAACAAGGGGTCGCCGCTTTCCGTGCGTGAAATCTTGGATGAAGTGCATCAGATGCGGTATGAGAAGCACCGCCTGGAGGGGGAGTTGGCTAAGAAGGAGAGCGAATTGAAGTCCCTCCGTACGGAACTTGAGCACGCGCAGAATCTCGTTCAAGTCGGTGAATTACCGTTAAAAACGGACTTGGCGGGCACAAATGCCTCTTGCAATGCGAAACCCACGCACACATCGGTTGTGAATGAGGAGGTTGTGTCTTCCCTCAGGCACCAACTGGCGGAAGTGCAAGAGAAATTCACCCGCACGGAGGCAAAACTTGGAATGTATCAGAAGGAATATCGCACGCTGCGGCAAACTGTTCGTGAGAGGGAAAAGGAACTTTTAGAGTGCCAGCGCAAACACCGAGACGCCGTGGGCATACGATCAAAAGACACACCGCATTTAGAAGTACAGGAGTTTCTTTTAGACCAGTGGAAAGATACGAAAAATATGGTGTCATCACGTCACCGCATTTTTTTTCGTGGCGCGGAGTGGCTCCAGATTTTGAATGAGAAACCCGAGGCAATGCGAACTGCCTTTTTGAAGGATGCATCTTTAGAGTTGTGCGCCCCCTGTGGATTTATCTCCGTTGTGGAGATGCAACCAGGGTCCGAACTTGTCATCATTGAGGTGGAGGTGCGCCGTCCCTCTCAGCTTCCTGACGATAAGGTGGAGTTATTTCTTCTGCACTGCCCTTTTGCGGAGATGCAGCGGCTAGTGGAATCCCGGGATGAGCCCAAGGATGGCTGGGACAGGGTGCAAGAGCAGTTGACTGAGGCACAGAGGGTCATTGCGGAAAAAGAGAGGGAAGTTGTGGAGCTACAGAAAAGACTGCAGCGGGCGGAAGCACTGCTTGCCGAGCAGCATGTTCAGCGTGACGCAGATGACCGATGGGTTCATGCGGCCCTTGACGAAACGGAAAAGACAGTGTTGGTGATCTACAAGGAGCTCAAGGATCAGTGGGAAAAGGGAGAGGGACTTCAGGCACAGCTCCAAACCGCCACGGAGTCACTTGCGGCTCGGGAAAATGAACTCGCTGAGCTCACAGTTCAACTACAGACCGCAAATGCAGGGGCGCAACGACAGGAGGAGCGTGCGGCTCAAGAGCTAGAGGAAGTGCGTCGTAGAGCCTTTGCGGAGCTTCGTGATGTGGAGGATAAAAGACGTCAAGAAATATCAAAACTTCGGCGTCAACAACAGCAACAAACTCGACAAGCAGCAGAAAATTTGCGGCTGGTTACACATTCTATGAGACTTGATTGCGGTATGCATGACGAGGCAGCATTGGCGTCCCTGGACTCCAGGGGCAATGAAATTCTGCGGGCCCTTCTGCTGAATGAAGCTGCTCTTGCCGCCAATGCCATTCCGCGGACAGTCGTTTCGCTTACAAGTAGTGGGAACGAGCTCCGGGCTGAAGTGCAACTGCAAGTCAACGCCTTTGCCGTAGATAATGCAATTGTGGCCGAGAGTGTGCGACAGTGTCGAGCCCCCACAGCCATGCTCTTCTTGCAAGAATGGCTTGGTGTAAAAGAATTGGCAGAATGCCGCAACCGAGAGATTCAACGCCTCACGCAGGAGGTGAAGGCAATGAGTAGCAAGGTTGAGGAAATTCATGAGAGAAACGCGCACATGATTTCAAGAACGGAGGTGAGCCTTCGCGAGGAGCGGGATAAAGTTTGTGACTTCGAGAGGGAAAAGGCAGCCTTTGTGGAGGAACTCGACCGCGTCGGTGAGGCTCTTGGAACGCAAGACGCTTCGCTTCCCCTCCCAGAGCGTGTTTCCCGTCTTGTCACGGCAATTGCAGAGGCAGAGAAATTGAGGAAAGGGCACGAGACGAGGTGGCACGCTGAGCAGACGCGGGTGCAGTCCCTCGAGAAGAAGCAGCGGGAGATGGAAAAGGATCATCGACATCTTGTGGAGATGCTGCAGGAGTCAAAGCAGGACTTGGAGAATGCCACAGAGTCCCTGGAGACTTTGCAAAGTGAGCACCAGCAGCTTCTTAAAGAATATGGCTCTATTCAAATGCTGCTAAATTCGCAGCAGGATGAAATGATAAAGCTGCAAGCAACACGGCGGCATAAACATTATTTTTGGCCAAAGGGAGTGGATCACTGGACCTCAACGCGTGTGGCTGAATCGACCGAAGACCCTGAAGAGTTGCAGCATGACGTCATAGTTGCGCTCCGCTGTGCGTATGAAGAATACGACGAACTGTACGAAACATTAGAGAGTTCCATCCAGCAACGGAGGAAAATGGAGATTTTAGAGCGAGAGAAACTGCAGGGACGTGAGGCGGAGTGTAACGAGCTTAATCAGCAGATCGCGGCGCTGCAGAAGGAATTGCGGAAGCACCAGGAGGAAGCGATTGCTGTGGAGTCCACTCACGAGCGCAGTGAGGCCGAGCGTGACGAACTACTTAGCCGCATCCAGAAGGAAATGCAGGCACTCTCCAGAAGGCTAGCAAAAAACGATGCCCTGCAGCGAGAAACCGAGTCGACTAAAAAGGCACTTGAAGAGCAGGTGGTGTGGTTGCAACAACAATGTGAAGCGCATGAATCTGAGCGGAAAAAACTGCAGGAGGCATCCGCTCTCGTGGAGAATGACCGATCTACCATGGAAAAGAAGTTGGAGGAATTACAGAGGGAAATGGAAAGAAGAAGTAAGCGGGCGGAGGAGATTATGCGGCAGCTAGTGTCTGAGGAAGATGCACGTCGTGCCCTGGAGATGGAGCTGGCAACGCTACGCCGGTCAAATAAGACACGAAAAAAAACAAGTGGGTTTAGTACTGGAGAGAAAGAAGAGGAAGAAACCCAAAAAAAATTGGGAGCGGCAACTGCGCCCGAATTAAAACGACTACGCGAGTTTTGTATGCATGCCCTCAAGTTGCCCTTGACGGAAAAGCAGCAAACACTCGGTGACATCGTTGCCTTCATGGAGCAGAATTGTGTGTCGGCGGTGGAGGAACAAGAGAGTTTGGGGGCAGCTCTCATTTCTATGAGCACCGCATCCAAGCTGCTAAGAGAGTGCGTTGCCGCCGCAGAAGAACATAAGGGAGGTCTCATTCATAGAACTCCAGCTTCAAGGAGTTCAGCTAACGGGTCTTCCGTTGATAATTTGTCTGCCTTTGGTCGCTCACTCAGTTACAGTGGCGGCATTGTATCGGCGGCACACCCAGCATGTCCACCTGTACTTGCCAGCAGGAAATCCGTCACACCAACTCCTTTGGCACGAATAGCGAGTGCCCACCAGCATCTGCGGCAGCAGACTGTAAGTAAGCGTACGCAGCCACAAGATTTGGCTTCGACTGCGACGGAGGTTGTGTGCTTGGCCCAGGTGCTCAGCGGTGTCGTGGCGCACTGGCGAGACAACGAGAAACAGAGCGCGGCACGAAGGAATGAGATGCCGAAGAAGTCTTTTGCCCCGTCAAAGGAGTCAGGCCAAACGCAGCATGCCAAGTCCAAGCCGCAGCAGGAAACTGGACGGCAACCGGACATTGAAAATGAGGCTGCTGTTCCAAAGCCCGACGGCAATCATGACTTTTTGCGTCGTAGCCGCGCTCATGCGTTGTGTGTTGCGCTTTCCGTGAAGGATCATTTAGACGACGCACTGACCGCACTGCAGTCGGTGTTGGAAGTCTTCCGCGAGGGCAACTACGCCGCGAAGGACCGCTTTGAGGTCGACCCCATCCACGACCTACGCATGTCGGAGGGGTGTGTTGTGTACGCGCTGAAACGCATTTCACAGTCTGCGGACATCCTCTTCTCGCGGGGGGAGCGACGTGAGATTGAGGCAAGACGGGGTGCGGACTACTTCAAACCTCCCGGGGGATTGCGCAACGTACCCTCGCCGAATGCCCGCAACATATTACCGTCGAAACACCTATCAAAAGAGCCGAGGCGGGAGTGTGACGGTCTGTTGCCTTGCGAACTCAACTTCTCGCCTTCTCCATCAACGTCGCCAAACGGAAAAAGGGGTGTTGGCAACTGCGATGAAGGCGTCACCGTGGGCTTCCGGCAGCACATGAATGCCGAGGACAAGCAGCTCATTCAGTGGGCCCTTATAGAGGCTCGTCGGCGCAGGCAATGCTGAATGTGAATAAATAAAAGGAAGCATATCGTACTTTTTTTTTGAGGGTGGGGGATGGGGGGTGGAGTAAAGAAAGAATGAACAGGAGAATGAGCGGGGAAGTATCCATGCAGCAGTTGAGAGGGCAATCAAAAAGAAGATTGAGCCGGATGGTTTGTCTTCGGACGTGTTACTCAGACCCCAAAAAAAAAGATGGATAGAGAATTTTGAAGGCCGGGGGAAGAATATTCACTTCCGGGATATCCTGTACATAAACATGTATGAGTGTCCATGACGTTTACATTTTATTTTTATGGTGATGGTGGTGTTTTTTTTGTTTTTTGTTTTTTGATGGTGTGTGTTGGATCTGCCATCGTTTGTTTCATTAGATATTATTTTTGATTTGTTTTTAATTTATTACCCGACATCTGTATGAATATATTTATATATACATGTGTACCCTTCCATCTGTCGGTGTGTGTGTGTGTGTGTGTGTCCGCATCACTTTCTGCAGCTCCCGCCTCGGGGAGGAAGGGAAGGGAAGGGAAGAATGCCTTGCCTCCTCCATCGCTAAGGTTGGATGCATTGTACGTGTGAACTATGTGTTGCATCTAAAGAAGAATGAATTTTACACCCCTTTTTTATATTTGTTTGTGTGGGTCGTAGATTGCACTCCCACACATCGTTTCACTTTGTTGTATTTGATATTTGCTTTTCCACCGTTCTTTTTTTTCTTTATTTTTTTTTTTTTTTTTGTAATGTTTGCCTCCCACACGTCGACATGCACGCTGAAAGTGCACTACGCGGAGGATCAACGCAATTTTCGATTAGCGTTTGGCTTTTGTGCTTCTTCAATTCAACAATTACTTGCCGACACTTCACTGCAGATGATGCTGGAGAACGAATCGCACGGTCACATTGAACTCATCATTGGCCCCATGTTTGCGGGGAAGACGACGGAGTTGATGCGCCGCGTTCGACGCGAGTTGTTTGCGAGGCGCTCGTGTTATGTCATCAAACACTCCCGTGATGCGCGCTACAGCCGCGAGAGCGTGTCGTCGCACGACAAGCTGCTGCTGGGCGCCACGGCGGCCGTTGCGGAGTTGCGCGAGGTTGGCGATGCGTGGTGCCCGTACGATGTCGTGGCGGTGGATGAGGGCCAGTTCTTCCCTGACATCGTTGCTTTCTGCAACACCGCCGCCGACGCCGGGAAGACCGTCATTGTCTCCGCGCTTGATGGCGATTACCGCAGGCAGCCGTTTGATGGCATTTGCCGCCTCATCCCGCTCGCGGAGTCCGTAAAGAAACTCACTGCGGTCTGCATGGAGTGCCACTGCCGCTCCGCTTCCTTCACGTACCGCACCGTCTCCTCCGAAAAGCGGGAGCTCATTGGCGGTGCTGACATGTATATTGCCGCCTGCCGGACGTGCTTTGTCACCAAGTCGAAGAAAAGGGCGGAACTGGAGGCGAAGGGCTCGGTGCAGACACCGGACAAATGCTCCGACACCCCCGCTGCGGAGAAGCAGAAGGGCGAGCAACGCGAAGCAGAGGAGGACCCCATCACACCCCCGACAACAATCGCAGCAGCGGAACCCCCACTTTCCGCGAGTGCCGTCCGCAAGCGGCCCGTCGGTGTGGATGGAAATGTCCCTACCGATGCTGAACGCTGCACATCAAAGGCACGGCTGGAGTGTCACTAAGTATCCGGCTGCATGCCGCGCATAGACACGAAAATAGATCCCCTCCCCCGAATTATTACCATAGAGAGAGAACACTTTTGTAACACGAGGAGTTTTTCGATGGTCACTTCAGCACCACCTATTCCCTTCTTTACTCAACACACACAACAGAACAAAAAGTTTATATTTATTTCTACTTAAAGAAGATGGGAAGAATAACAACACAAAAAAGGGAGAGAGAGAGAGTTCTCTTTACCCTAATAGGTTGAGCGCAATGAAAATGCGGAAAACGATGTGAGGATCAGCAGTGGCTGCAAAGACATGCTTCTAGATGAGGTGCGAGCCCCCTCCAGAGAAGAATCAACACAGACGGAGGAAAAAAAGGGAGGAAGGCTGGGGACCGAACACACAAGAAGCAGGAAGGGATGCAGGCAAAGCAAATAAGATGATGAAAAGAGCAGGTAAGTTGGTCCGTGGCTTCCACCGCACCCATTTGCCTTTTGCCAAATCATATTATTATTATTATTATTATTGATTGTGAGGTCTTGGGTGTCACGCCTTTTTTTTTTTTTTTTTGTTTTTTTTTTGTTTTGTTTTTTTTGTTTGTTTGTTTTGTTTTTTTTTGTTTTGTTGTTAATGTTTTTTGGTAGTGATGATTAAGATTTTTTGTTTCTTTTTGTTTCTTTTTTTTTTTTTTTTTTTTTTTTTTGGCAGCATTTCATGGATGACGATTTTTATGCCGCTTGTCTGTGGGAGTTACACTTACGGTTGTGTGCCCCTATTGGAGCATTTCACTTCTTTTCTTCCCGGTTGTTGGTGTTTTATTTCCTTCTCGTGTCACGTTTTTTTTTTTTTTGGCGTGTACGGCGTAGTGTGCCCCGCGAGAATAAGCGGGGGAATTGAATGAGACGACTCCACCGGTTCCTGCTCCGTCGGGGGTACAATTCAGAGGGGGGAATCACTACCAATACGACTACTAGTAATAGTACTACTAATACTACTGCTGCCAATGTGTCCAATGCCACGACGAGATTGCAGTCAAACACTCATCCCTTGGCGGGACAATCAAAAGGAATGCGCAGGCCACCGTCTTCGTCGTTGGGATCCACGGCGGAGAAGAGGGTGATTGAGACACTTCGAAGTGATCTGGCAGCGGCGCAGTTGCGCATTGCGGAATTGCAGCTGAGTCAGTTGGCGGTGCACGAGGCGTTGTTGCGTCGACTGGAGGAAACGGACCGCGCAGCGCACAAGACAGCGACGGAGCTGCGGTACACCGCATTGGCCCTGCAGTGCCATTATGATCTGCTCGAGACGGAATTGCGGCGTGCTTTGGCGTTGGGGCCGCATTCCACAACTACAGAAAAGGAATGTGCGGCTGAAGACATGGAGTTACTTCGCCAAACCGCCATTGAAGCCGCCTCGAGAGAAATGGTGCGTAGAAATATTGGATTTCGTGTGGAAAAAGTATCGGAAGAACCAGCGGCGGTCTCAAGAGTCACCAGTGACGTCAATTTATGAGGCTCCTTCTTGTGTAATTGCAGGGTTTACGAGTGAAATGGCTGTAGAGAGGAGGCAGTGGGAAGGGACAGGGAAGGAGCTGAGTCACTGCTCATGTTGTTTATGTCACGTATGCTTCTTATTCAGTCGCATCAATTTTCCTTTCTCTTTTTCCACGTTTTCGTGTTTCTGTGGGTGTGTGGGTGACGTGAAGGTCAAAGGGTGAAGGAACGTGCTCTGTATGCCTCTCCAACTCATACACAAACACACACAGATATAGACACAGTGGTATATTACTATTACTATTTTGTTGGACGCAACTGTGGGTGGGAAAGAAACCGCAGTTTGTGTTTGCATTTCCACATAGACAACAGGCAATTATTTTTTTTTTTTTTTTTTAGATCTAAAAAAAAAAAAAAAAAAAAAACATCCTTTATGACGTCATTAAAACCGAAAATGACAGTTTCCGCCGTACGGGGCCGCATCCTCGTGACAGCAGAAGACGGTGAGCGGATAGGCCAGTGGGGAGGCACGGAGTGTTTTCTCTCGCGGCAGTCTGGGCTTGGTCCATGTCTTGTTGTCCGCTCCAGTCGTCATAAGCGCCACGAGGGGACATTCTTTCAACTGGTTGGACTCCGACGTGTGTTGTCGACATATGCCATGGAGGGAAAGCTCACAATTATGGTACCGCATGAGCAACGGTTGTGTACCGTGTTTATTGAGACAGTGGCGGATGTGGACGCCCTGAGGATTATGGCTGCCTTGCTACAGGACCGCAGTCATTGGAAAGATATTGAGAAGAATGTGGCGTGCAAAAAGGGTCGAGCGGGACGTGGATCCAAAGCAAACGGACAGGGACTTCGTGATCCAGGCGCGTTTGCCATGCCGGAATGGGATAATAAAGACTTTTATATCGATGATGCTGCTGCTCCTGATGGTGACGATTCTGGCGTGGTCATCAATGATGGGGGTAAGGTGACAACGCCGACATCTAAAAAGGTAAACATGTACCCCAAAAATACGGTTTCTACACATTCAGAAGTGGACGCGAATTCAATGGCGTCCACAATGGGACGTGGACCGAGTGAAAGGGTGGCACCATCCAAAGAAGGTGTGTCATGGACGGTAGAGCAGGTGCGTGCCGTTCAGTTGGTTCGCACGGGGAGAAATGTCTTTTTGACAGGATCGGCTGGCACAGGGAAAACCGCATGGCTTTTGCATCTGCTGCAGCATGTCTTGTCAGGCACTGAGGGCGTTGTGGCAACAGCTACCACCGGTATTGCCGCTCGCATCATTGGTGGTCTCACAATTTATGCGTTTTCTGGCATTGGTCGAGGTGATGGCTCATTTGACAAGATTTATCGCCGCGTCAAAAGTCGCCCGGAGGTGGTACGAGCATGGCGGCAATGCAAGACACTCATCATTGACGAAATCGGAGTCCTCCCGGTAAATATTTTTCTGCTTTTGGATGCGATTGCCCGACGAGTGCGTAACGAGCCTGATACCCCCTTTGGGGGTATTCAGCTTATCCTTCTTGGTGACTTTCTGCAGCTTCCTCCTGTAGACTCCTCCTCGGCTGTTTTTATGAGTGAGGATCGCACCGAAGAAAAGAAACCTGAGTCAAACTGGTGCTTTGACTGTCCTTTGTGGGAAAAACTGCGGCTTGCCGCCGTTGAGTTTCGTCAGAACCATCGTCATGAGAGCGACCCAGTCTTTGCTGCATGTATGGAAGATATTCGATATGGGCGGTATACTCGACGTGTGGAAGGCCTAATATCGACATGTCTTGGTCGACGGTTGAGCGATCGATTTGGTGTTAAACCTACCGTCATTGTGGCGCGCCGTCAAAGTGCCACAGCGTACAACATGGAACGTCTGCAGTTACTGGACGATGTCAATTTTCATCGTTATGCCTCTGAGGACTACGCCTCAACGCCCGGATACGATTTGGATAAGGAAGTTTCTCTACTGCCTTTGCTTGAGTTGCGTGTCGGGGCACAGGTGGTACTGCTTGCC